CTGTGCCCGGCTGTGTCCCGCGCGGCTGGTAGCGTGCGGCGGGGGGGTCTCCGGTCGACGGGAGAGAGAGTGAGGGAGAGAAAGATGTAATTTATCCTTAATGGTGATAAAAGTGGTGGAGGGGAATTAATAATGCTTGAGCTGTCCCTTCTGATTTGCAGATTGAAATTATGTACGAGAGAGACAGAAAGCGAGAGAGGGAGAGAGCAAGAAAGAGAGAGAGATTACAGTGAGAGGCAGAGTCTTCATTTAATAATGAAGAATCAGTCTAATGTCAATAAAGAAAAAAACTGATGTATTATTTCTGCTACATGCATTGTCTCTGTCTCTTAATCAAGGCAACTTTCATTATAGCCTTCAAACCAATCCAATATATCTAATGCTCTACTGGATTATCAAAGGCGGCCAATGCAATGCCTGGAATGGAATAAAACCTTTATATAGGATTTGTGTGGTGATGACATTTGAATAATGAGAATGGCAATGCCTGTCTGTTTCTAAAGCAATCCCAATGATCTCCTAGGTTCTAGAAATGTCAGTAATGTTTATCAGAAATGTCTTCCGTGATTACATAATCAGATTCCAAAGGGCTGTGTGTGTGTGTTTGTGTGTGTGTGTGTGTGTGTGTGTGTGTGTGTGTGTGTGTGTGTGTGTGTGTGTGTGTGTGTGTGTGTGTGTGTGTGTGTGTATGTGTCCTTATCACAACCTCACACACGTGTCAACAGAAGGGAGCCTGTTCTGATAATTAAGGGTGTTAATTAGACAGAATCCCACAGTTAATATATTAGTCTCTCTCTCTCTCTCGTACACACATACAGACAGACACATACAAATACACACAGATTTGTGAGGCCTACTGCTAATTAAGAGCAATAATTGGGCAGACACCCACACACTCATATAACACACACACACACGCATACACACACACACACACACACACACACACACCAACACTCCTGCTCTGGTAATTAAGGGCATTCATTACAAGTGTAGTTGTCCCTGTGAGGGTTCTGTATCAGTCAGACTGGCACACAGCAGGGGTCCTTTACTGTAGCACTTCATACACACACACACACACACACACACATACACACACACACACACACACACACAAAGTGCAGAAAGCTGTAAACAAGTGATCGTAGACTGATTGCTGGCCATGGGTTAACCTCTCTGTCACCATGTCCAGAGAGAAGACATTGAGCTAATGGGGATCCAACTAAAGAACTGTGTTCCCCTCTATCACTGAGTGTATGATGTCTTGGCTGTGTTTTAATCAGTAGTGGTAGTCTGTCTGCAGCACTACGGGGTACAGACATCACTGATGGAGATATTTGACAGTCACAGTTGCTTCCATGCACCATTCCAGGTGTAAAAGTGTTTGTGTGAAAAACTAGGATGGAAATGGAAGAGAGAAGATGAGAGAATACAAAACAGAAAGTGGCACAGACAGAAATACACACACACACACTGATTTAGCATCCACTAAGGCCACACTGATTAAATTCAGCTGAAATCTGTTTTCCCAGATGTAGGATTCTCTCGCTCAGTGCACAATATGGTTGTGTGTTTTTGTTGTTTTGTTTCCATGTTTACTGATTAAGGACTAATGATGGTAGGGTAGAAACATGTGTAACCCCCCCCCCCATAGTTGACAGCTGTACGGACTTGTCTACAGAGAATAATAATTTAACTCTCTCTCCTCTGTCTTGAGGATAGCTAACTCAACATCCCCTTCTATCTCTCCCCCTGTAGTTGACAGCTGTACGGACTGGTCAATAGAATATAACAACATCCTGGTTCTCTCTCTCTCTCTCTCTCTCTCTCTCTCTCTCTCTCTCTCTGTCTCTCTTTCTCTCTCTCCCTCCATAGTTGACCTCTGTACAGACTGGTCGGTGGATTACCTGAAGTATCGTGTGCTGCAGGGAGAGCCTGTGAGGCTGAAGTGTGCCCTGTTCTCGGCTACATCCGGGCCAACTACAGCCAGGCTCAGAGTGTGGGCCTTAGCCTCATGTGGTACCGCAGCTCTGGCCTGGGCCACGGAGACTTCGAGGAGCCCATCTCCTTTGACGGCGTGCGCATGAGCAAGGAGGAGGACGCCATCTGGTTCAGACCGGCCGACCTGCAGGACGTGGGCCTCTACTCCTGCGTGCTACGGTAAGACACGAGGGACAAACTGTGCTCTGCTGCTCTAGTCTATTCCTGCGTGCTACGGAAAGACACGAGGGACTAACTGTGCTCTACTGCTCTAGTCAACTTCTACGTGCTACGGTAAGACAGGAGGGACAGTAGGGATACTAGAGCTACGATAAGACACGAGGAATAAACTAGGGAAACTAGGGATTATTTACTCTTTTGGCTACATGCTCCCTTCCTCCTTTACTCCATCCCTCTACATTTAACTGTGGGTACTCCTCTGTGATATTGATTGCTGTCGCTTCTCACTCGCGCTCCATCTCTCTCACAATCTCTTCCCCCTTCCTTTCTCTGGCTGAGTCAGAATCAAAGGGGTTGTGTTTTTGTCGTTCTGTTGAGAGGGTCTGAAGTGGATGTTTCTCATAGGCCTGGAGGCAACATAGTACTCTCTCTTTCACTCCTCTCTCCTTCACTCTCTCCCTCTCTAAGACTTGACCATTACTTTAAAAATAATTTCTGTATGACACTAGACAAGCAGATCACATGCATTATGAAAAGCATGTTCTCCAGTGTTTTAAAGTGTTAAAATTCTTCAGGCTTCATGTATTCAGATGTAGTGTATGGGGGGGATTCAAGAGTTCTCCAATATCCTAATCAGAGAAGCACTTTGGAGATTTGGTGGGG